AAGCTCATCGTTCTGAAAAGCGAGGTGTGCTCTGATTGGCCAGCTATCCAGTGCGTTGTGATTGGGCGAATACCTGCAGTCTTCCGGCGCGACGAGACAAAACCAATAAAAACCCAATATAAACGAGGCATTTGTTACATCCAGTAGGGACATAATTACGGATTATAATGACTTGTACTGTCTTTTTACGTGTTGCGTTGCATCGCGCCGCGTAAACATAAAACTTTTGTGATTGGAGAAATGGCAAACAACAAGCGCTAGGCTACTCTACACTGCTCAAAACTCGAGTTTGAATCGTCTTTGGTTTTGAGACTTTAGTCTTTGCAACTTTAGGGATCTTTTCTATTCACGAACAGCTTGTAACACTCCAAAGAGAAAGGAAAACTTGAAATGACATCATATGACCCCTTTAATTTGACTCAGATCCACAGCTCGGGACCATATAGTGATTTAAAGCTGACTTGTTACTTTCAGCCTTGTTTTAATTACAACCAGCAAGGAATGTTGATGCAATACCATGAAGACTTTTAAAAATGTAATAAGAGGCTCTAAAATCCATTTTGTGAGACACAAGTATAGACAGTGAAGTGATTTAAGTGCTGAATGTGATTCTTCAGTCTAGTAGGAGGAAGCATTCTTGCTGCTGCATTCGTAACTCATTGTAAGTGTTAGATAGAGCTCTTTGGTAAGTCAGCCAAGACACTACTCCAGTAGTCAAGTCTAGATGTAACTACTGCATGAATGAGTTTCTTGATCCTAGCACAACTATAAAGCTGCTTGATCAGAGCAATCTCACTTGAATAATCGCGCTTACCACTTTATCTAAACTTAAAGGGATAGTTCAACCAAAAATTCTGTCATCATTTACTTGGCATTTGACCTTTTTTCTTCTGTGAAATATAAAAAGAGATATTTTGGAAGAATGTCCAAGCTGCTCTTTTCCATGTAGTGAAAGTGAATGGTGACCTGGTTCTTTCAAGCTCTAAAAACAGAATTTTTATTTTTGGGCGAACCATTCTTTTATGCTTTTTTTTTTGTATAGCTCTGTCTTAGTGTTTTTTAGGCCATTGTTGTATGGATTGCTCCATCATTTTCTTAGCAGTAAGGGAGAGCTCAAAGGAAAACTCTTCCTAAGGGGCTCAGCAGCAGTGTCTTCACACGAATCACATGGCCATCGTAATGCAGAGTCATAACACTGAGGTAAAGAGAGGGCTTGAGTTTGACTTTGCGTTTACATATTTAGTGTTAAGATTAACAAATACAATTGTTAGTTTCATAAGTCTGAAAATCTTGCATCCCATTCAGCTGTTTCTGTTGCTTTTCCAGCTCTGCAGCCATCTCAAGAGGAAGTCATATGATCACAATTAAAACAATTTCCCGTAAAGAGGCCAAAACATTCTGTCCAGCCTACTCTGGTTATAGAAATTGATGTATTTTCTTTTATATTTTTTGATGTTGCTTTTTGTAATCCTAGTAATAGTTTTATGAATAAAACCATTGTGATTGTTCTTCTAAGCTGTGCAAACAATACAGTATATCACAATATAGTCATTGTCCTCATATATTAAATTTAAATAGCCTTGACATCCAGTTAACTGATTTTGAATTTGATATGTCTGTATCCTCTTCTTTTAAAATATGTTGTATGCGATATTAAATTTACATTTGCTGTAAAATAGCAGCAGCCTTATTTTTTTGTGCAACTATTTATTTTTTTTACTATTTTTAACTAAAGTCAACAATGATAAAGTATGCAAATTGTGGTAATTTCTGCAGTCTGAATTGATCATGTTACGCTAATCTTAAGATAAGTGCTTTGATTGTTTATCTAACATGGCAAAAATGCCAAAACAAGCCTGGATTGTTGGCTAGCTTCTAAAATGAGTCTTTCTGGTGAAGGCCCAGGTCCTTGAACTTTGAATTTTGAATGTGTTTAGAAATGACATTTGAACTACACATTCTTACTTAACCACTTAAGCTCAGGGCGTTTTTTGGTATTTTCGCCTAAATAATCTACATCGTCAAATTCCTGAGAATGAGAGCTTTCTTGTGATATATGACTTGACTTTTTTGTGAAAAATATATAAAATACACATTCTTCGTAAAAATTATTCGCAATGGTTAGGCGGAAATTCGTGTGTGGGACGAATACATTTCTAAGCTTAATTTTACTGCTTTATGAATATAAAAACCAAAAGGAATGGTATTCTTTGTAAAGAAGACACTCCAAGCTTTCAAATGAACCCATATATGGGCTGATACCATATAAGGAAGGCTATGTAAATGAAGCAAAAACATTTTTTACGTCATTTTGGAGTTTAATTAAGCTGTTCTCACTTCAAACCTTGAACTGTCTAATGAGTTGTCTGTTTCTAAAGAAAGCACTTTATACAGAAGACATGTTATAATTATTCTTGCTTTAGTTTTCAAGTACTACTCATTGAGAATCTCAGTTGTGTCGTTACATGTTTGGTTTTCTTTCACCTTAAAGCAGCAAAGCTCACAAACACTGTAAACATCATCCAATGCCAAGTTCTTCAAATTTCCCAATTTTCCTTAAAAGGTAAGTCACTTCATACTCACTCAATACTTCAACATATGTTTAGCATTTTGCACTGAATATGATCACAGATCAAGGGTAATAAAGCAGTTTGTTGAAAGGTTGATGTTGAAGTTTTCCCAGAGCATTGTCAGGGTACACTTTCAGTAAAAGGTTATCATCAACAGATCATGTGAAACAAATTGAATAAACATGAGTAGACAAATATTTGCTTGCTCTCCTGCTGCTAAGTTGGAACTGTGTTCGAGGACAAATATATCCAAACACATATGACCCTCTAAAATAATGTGTACTTATGTATGTACTCAGGATTTTTATGAGAACTGAATGTGCATGTAGATAAATTATAGATGAGAGACATTTTGTTCTTCTTTTGTAATGTTTAAATTCACTGTGCATGTAATTTCCTTTTTTTGCATGTCCACGATTAAGCAAAGCCACAGAAAAATGTGCTTGTGACACTGTAAGCGGTTCCATACTGTACGCACCTTGTAGTAAGATTTTGTCTAGTAAGGTGTTGAAATTCTCTTACTAATGTAGGCTAATCTTAATACTCCAGTTACTCTGAACGGCTTCACTCCAAATGAGTTTCTGGATGAGCTTTAGGAAACTATCTACCCAGCCTGTGCTTCACACGTAGCTTTAATCTAGCACACATTTCCCGTTCCCTCCTCTCCTGTCAGGACTAATTCCTGAGATAGTGTACTTCTACTAAGGGTACAACTAAGTATTTAGACATAGTAGGACTTCAGTAGGCTTTGAAGCCAAACTCCGGTCCAAATCTGAGTATTATAATTTCTTTCCTATATTTTATTGTTTTTCACTTATTGAAAAAAGAAAAAAAAAAGAATTGCTCACCCCGAACTAAAAATTCTGTCATCATTTACTTATTTTTTGAAGGGGATTTAAAAAAAAAATAATTTTTTTTTTGCTGCACTTTTCCATATAATGAAAGCCAGTGGGTTCCGGATTATAAATAAATAGCACCTTACAAGAGGTCCTTAAGACTTGTGCATTGTGTTTCAAGAATTTTTTTTATTTTTCATTGATAATCTTCCCCTTTGCCATAGTTTTCAAATCTCCTTTATGTTCAAAAATATTCAAATATTGCACATTCAAGACATCACACAAGGTTTAACGTCACTGATGCCAATCATTATTTCTTGCATGTCTCATAACGACCAAAGCTGCATATTCACGTATCTGAAATATTTGGCGAAGATTTTCAGAATATCTTTAGAACGATTGGAATATAATGTCACAAAGACTGTTTTTATGGTACAACTTTGTCATAATCACTTTCATTGTAGGGAAAAAAGCAGCTTGGACATATCTCAAAATATCAACTTTGGTTGTCAAAGAAATTACCTGAGGTTCAATTCAATTAAAAAAAACTTTATTATCTATCAACCAGAGATAGAAATTTATATTAGGTAAAAAGGCTGACATGTACACAATACACAATAATAATACACAAGATCCTGACAAAAACTGTTTGGCCTTATTCAGAATAGAAATTGCAGTAGGAATAAAAGAATTACTATAAGCCTTCTTTCTAGCCAAAGGAGTTCTAAACCGACAACCTGCAGGAGTATCTAAAAAAGGTAATGCAAAGGATAAGAGGGGTCAGTAACAATAGAAGCTGCTTTCCTCTTTACAGCACAGTTATAGAGATCTAAAAATTTAGTCTGAAAGTTTAGTTAAATGATGAAATCATTTTTATTTTGATCAAATGAAAAGTTCATAATGCACACTGTAAATAACATGCCCTTAAAAAAAGTTATTTATATAAAATAATAAAAACTACTGGGAATAGTTGTTGACAGTACATAAATATGACAGTATTGTATTGTAAAATTACATATAATGCGATGTTAAGCCATTTGCAGTTTTTCACTGTATACACTGACAGAAATTGGTGTAGGATTTTCTTTGAAACAGTTGTCACTCAGAAATTGCTAGTAAATTTCACAAATTATTACAAAGAAATCTTGACGTAGAAAGACTGAAATATTATTTTATTGTAAAAATGTACTCCAACGACCTTTATTTACATCTTTGAAAAAAGGATTTTATAAGGTCCTTTATAGTTACCAATTAACAGATTTTTACTGTAGCATTTTTACAGTTTTTTGTGTAATATAATATATTACTTTATTTGACCCTGTAACTCTAACACTTTCTATTCTTTTTTAATTCTACTTTATCTATATTTATCTTATTTTTTTATTAAAAAAAAAAAAACACTAGCTTTCTATTTTTTCTATTCTATTTACTTGTTTTTCTTTGTGTGTGTGTGTATATATGTGTGTGTGTGTATAATAAATATATATATATACACTTTGCTACGTGTACTGCGTTAGGCTAACCGAGACTTGTCATTTGCACTTATATATTGTTGCTCTTTTGTTAGTTTTGACTGCTTTTGTTGTCCTCATTTGTAAGTCGCTTTGGATAAAAGCGTCTGCTAAATGACTAAATAAAATAAATAAAAAAATATAACATCATCTGTTTAGGATCACAGGTTCAAACAAGATTTTTGATATAGCCTATATGTACTGTGTTCAATATTAGTGTCTCCGACTACACAAACTGCATTATTCTCTACAGTACAAAGCAGTAATCTATTAAACAAACATTTATGTTCCTATTTTTAAAGCACCATACAGCATGGGCAGGTGCAATACCTCACATTCCTTAATTGGTGTTAGTCTTTGCCGGAATGAGTGTCTGCAGCAATTCTGACGTTTATTGTTGGTGAGTAAACAGTCGAAAGATATCCCAATGAATGCCTATTTGTCTTAACAATGACACTGCTGTTGCACCATATTTAGTCACTCGGTCCAAGTCTTTCGGTGTTCCCTTCTAAACACAGAATACAGCCGAGATTCCAGGCAGACCCCATTGTCCTTATATGGCACAACAGAGACCTAGTAGGGTCGTGCATCTCTGCCTCTCTCTCGCAACCTCTCACTTTCACTCTCACTATACACCCCCATCCTCCATCTGTCTCCAAGACACTCTCTCTACCTCCCTTCCTTCCCTGCGCACATCCAGGAGAGCTTGATGCTGACCAGTGACAGAGGAGCTTTCCCTGCAGGCTTTGTTTTATCCCCCATCTCTCTTTTGGACTGCAGCAAGGCCTCGGAACATACCAGCCATGGTCCTGTTCCCTGGAAACATCACAGACTTGATTTACTGGATGCAATAGGAGGTTGTCCTTATATAGGAAGTTCCATTAGATAGCAGGAGCCCATTGTGGGAATTGAGGGGACGGAATGTGATGTGCGTAATGATAAGGGTCCCAAAAAGGATCTCAAGGGATTCGCCTCGTCCAGATGTAGCATGTAGTGTAGGGAATCTCCGTTTTCTTACTTGGGCTCTTTATGTTTCTTTCCTCTATTCTGTATATTAAGGATTCCTTGTGTATTCCTTGATTTTCCTGGTCCCCATTCACTTTCACTGTATGGAAGAGAGAAGTGTGAACATACTGCAAAATGTCTCCTTCTGTGTTTCACACAAGAAATAAGTTTTGGAATGACATGGGCATGCACAAATAATGACCTTTAAAGCTGACATTTTTCCATATTCCAGATTCAGCAACAAATGCTTATGTTCTGCTACTAACGCAGTAAGAAAATCCATCATAAAAATATTAATTACGGCATTTTAAAACTATGATAATGTAAACAAAGTGTAGAATAATCATAAATCATTTTAAAATATTGTATAAATATGATTTCAATCATCGTTATGGTGTCATTTCCAGAGCAAAAAACAACTTTGTACATACAGTAATTATTATTTGTATTATTTTAACCAAAGAGACAACATTATCAATGAAGAGCATGCTTGAAGAGATGAAATATGACACTCATCGTGTGAAGAAAACAGAAAAGAAAAAAATGTAAGGTAAATATCACTTTATCAGCATTTTTTCCCCATAAATGTGATTTCGTCAAATTATGAAGTGTGTAAATATTAGACATGCTAAAAGTTAATTAAATTAAAAGTAATTTTATTCCAAAAATAAAATGAACCCAACGTACTATAGAACTCAGTGGCTACCGTCAACTGTCTCTTTAAGCAAAAACTAAGGATCATGAAATATGAGAGGAACTGTAATTAATTCCTCTTCATTTTCCACTTTAATCATTACCGTCTTCTGAAAACGCAGCACTTGCTGTAGTGATATTCTTGCAACATTTAAGTTGTTCACATTTAAAAGGATGCTCGCGAGGAGACTGTAGATCACCTGAACTCTCAAAACTCGCTGACCAATCACATCGCAGGTCGACTGTTCGGCCCCGCCTACTGATCCGCATCAACGTTTAAATGTTCTCATGATTTTCTGTCTAATTTGGACTGTTCGTTTTTGGAGTACCTCACTGTCACAGGACTCTCCAAACCCAAACTTTCAAAATCGCGGCAAGTTTTCCTCAGCCTTGTGAGTATGCATCCATACAACTTTTTTGAAAAAATAAAAAAAAAAGTGTTACGTTCTACTCTTTTAGTTTTGCATGCGTGACTCACAGAGGCTCAGATATGTAAATAATTGTGAATGTATGCCAGTAAGTTGATTATACAGTGTCGTGTGCAAAAAAATTGCAGAGATGTGTGAGAAAAACTGTCATCTTTCACTGAATATTGAAACCTGAAGCTGTCAACATTCAATTGCTTTGAAAGTGTTTGACAGCTGTTCATTCAGTTATTTTATGTTGCCATTAAAGTGATATTTTCCCCAAATGGAAACATTTAGCCTACTTACCCTCTCATGTTATTCCAAATATTCATATTTTTTACGTGAAACATAAAAGGACATGAATGTCAGGATGTTAGTAACTTACAGTCTTAGTCACCATTCGCTTTCATTGTATCTGCTTTCCATACAGTAAAAGTGAATGGTGACTGTCATTCTGCCTAACATCTTCTGTGCTCCACTGGAGAAAGAACTGGTTTGGAACAGCATGAGGATGTGAAAATTATGACAGAATTATTTTTTATTTAATTAACAGAATTAAATTATCTTTATACTTTGTTGCACAGAGCAAAAGCTTTCAACAAATCACGCATCTCTGACCTTCTAGTCAAAACATCATCATAAAGTATCTCACGAGCTGTTAAGATAGAAAGCATGTCGTTCTATCCGCCTTTTCATGCAAAAGTTTGACTTCAGCAGAGTCTGTCATAGGAAATGGTTGAGGAAAGTGCGTAGAATGAGAGAAGCAGTGAGCCTGACAAACCAAAGCGTTTCCTGTTCTCCAAATATGGTTGTCAAATGCAGCTTTCTGCTGAACTTTGTGGTGAATGGCAGACAGTCTTAACTGACTGTCCTCTCGTTTCCCATTTGTAGCGATGACATGCATAGACAATAGTCCGAGAAAGTCTAGACGAAAAAAAGATCTTGAAGTAAAGTGCAGGGGATGTAGTCACTGAATTCAATACTTAGTATATCATCATTTATCCATTAATGAATTGTTTAGTAGCATAAACATCCTTCAGACGTATTCTGCAGACTCACCCCCATGTCTTTCCAACCCTTTTTGGCTTTTTGGAATTTCTGACAGCTTTTTCAGAATATCTTTCATAATGAAGGTAAAAGGTGTGTGCATGAGGCAGAAGTTCATTTTAATCAGGCTTGGTGGAAAAAGGAAGTTTAACAGTTTTATTGGTAAGATTAGTAGACCTAGCAAGCTTTTACCAGTTTACTTGCAGCTACTCTTCAGTAGTGAATTAGTTTAGCTGTGTTTTTGACTTTAAAACATTTGTGGTATATCTTTAGGCTGCGTACCTGATTGTTCCTCTAATGATTTAACACAATTCTGCATCACCTGACAGACTCCTGCTGGAACTGTTGTTTATTTCTTATAATTGGTAGCTGGACTAATGTCTAACAGTTTAAACCACTCTTATCACAGATTCGGCTTGTTTTGGTGAAAGAAGGTCTTTATGGTCATTAATGGCAAAATAATGCTTAATGTGACTGATCTATGAAGCATTATATTCAGAATATACTGTTATAGCAACAGCTTTAAAGCTTGAGCTGTTGACCTTGTATGAACATCCATCTCAATAAAATTGTTAATAGAAGAAACTGAAATGACACAGCTGCTCATGAGAAAAAGAAAACTATATGGCTGGAATGAGAAAAGGATGAGGAGGAGTAGAGAAGAGTGGAGAAACCCTTTCACAGGACCAGGGGTCACAAAAATCCATCCGCACAACACACGGTCACATGATCTTCTGGGCTTCAGGCCCACTTGAACACAGTGCTACCTTTTACTTCTGTCGTGTTAAAAAAAGCAGAATTTCTTTGCAATAAAACATAGCCTCGACTTATTTAGGTTGGATTTTGGACAGTATATGTTTGGAGTGAAACTGCTGATCTATAAAAACCTTGGCGAAAGCTCAATGATTTTCAAGTGCTGAAATGAAAGAACTTCCCAAATAAAGGGTTTGTGAATCTACGTACAGGACACAGGAAATTCCCTCATTTAATTACATCAGCTTATCATAGAAAAACGTTGTTTGTTTGTCTCGCCTCCAAACGATTATAGGCCATTTAAATGACCATTTTCCATCCATCATGTTTACGATGGGCGATTTTGGCACGATTTTGTCGGCATTTGGACAAAAGAATGCAGATGCCTAACCTTGGTTGAAAAATTCACATTTACAGATTCACGTTTTAGAAACGCTCAATCTTTTATACTGTCATAATTTGTCAGCATGTTAAATTCATCTAGTCTTCTTTTTACAACACAGACTCTGAAGAAACACAAAAGATGAGATATTAAGGCAGACAACAACAAGAAGTTTCAGTCATTCTCCATGGTCGCATGAGCAAGTGCAACACTTTGGTTTTAGATATTATGCAAATTTCTGCTGGAGCTAAAAGAGGTAAATTACTAGCAAACAGCCTGTTCTGCCTGCTTGATACAATTTTATAATTTAAAATATAATTTTGCAGTTTATTTTTTTTAAATTACCTTATGTTAAGTAAGTAAGTAGGTGGGGAAAATGTTTTCCTGTTTTCGCTGAGCCGTTAGAACAGGGGTCACCAAACTTGGTCTTGGAGGGCCAGTGTCCTGCAGAGTTTAGATCCAACTTTCCTCAACACACCTGCCTGGAAGTTTCAAGCATACCTAGTGAGACCTTGATTAGCTGATTCAGGTGTGTTTAATTAGGGTTGGAGCTAAACTCTGCAGGACACCGGCCCTCCAGGACTGAGTCTGGTGACCCCTGCGTTAGACCATACAATGTACAAACAATGGATAGTTAAATCTCAGAGGAAATTGGTTCATATAGCTTTTTCCCAAATTGCTTTTAAAGCTCTGTGACTGCATAAAGCTGCACCTGCTGTTTGCCAGCTCTACTGTACTTGAAAATACTTGTATAAATTTCCCTATATCAGCCCACCAGAGGAAGAGAAGGGTGGGGGAAAGTGGCAGGAAAATCAGACCCCTCCAGCCTCTGACTGTCCCTGCCTAATGTTATCATTTTGGAGTAAACTGCGAGTCCGGCTGGAGGCATACTATTCCCTATAAGGGCTTTGTTTGAGAGTTCATTTGCTTCTGCTGTTTAGGTTGACAGATCGTCCACTGACTCGAAGGCAGCCTTATATGGTCATCACAGCACGGGACCACAGCTGAGCTCCAAAAAAAACAAGAAAAACAGCATTTGCTGTGGAGATTATCACATGATTATATATGTTTTGCCCGTCAGGATGTTTTGTACAGTTTTTTGCCCGCCTGAGTGGTTGTTTAATCAATACTGACAAATTTGTTTTTATATTTCCCAAGCATTTTTCTCGTCCTTTCATCTAAATAGGTGATAATAGTGGTGCCCCCTGTGACCTGCGCAGTGTTTGTCAAGGAACATTGTGGTTTGATTAGCAAACTTTGCAAAAGCTATACTTTAGTTTTAGTGAATTGCAACCACACCCAAAATTCAATATTCCATTGATATTAGGCCCTGAACAATGGGAAAGACCCCAGTGTGTGTGTGTTTAAATACCCAAATGGTAATGGTTTTTTTTTTTTATTATTAAATAGGTAAAGGGTTTAAATGGATTTTGGGGAATAATGAGAAAGAAAGAAGAACAGTAAAAGACAAGAATAAGAATTTTTGTAATTTGTTTGAAATGTTTGCAAATAATATTTTTATTTTAAAATGTGCACCCATTCAGTTTTATTCGTATGCCTAAAATTTTGAAAATACAAAACATAAAAATGCTCGTCCCATCACATTCAGTTATGTATTACATGGATCAAGTGAATGACAGCCTATATTTTCAATTCAAAATGACAAAATTTGACAAAAAAAAGTTAGTAATTTAGTTAATTACATCTTACCTTGCACTCTTTTACCAAAGCTCTGTGGTGAAATTCACGCCCGGTTTCTGTGAACAGTAAAGCCCCGCCTTTGATTTAATTGGTCATCGCAATCATTTTGACATGAGCGCATTTAGTCCACTAAAAATGTAACATTTAGAACCTTTTGTCAATTATCAAATATTGGGGGCAATTGTTGACTATCAAAAATGTAAAAAAAAGTAAAATAAAAAATGTAACAATGTAAAATTTTTTGTCAAATAACAAATATTTGGGGGGAAATTTGGCCTTTTCTAATTGTTTGGGGAGACCTCAATGTCTATGGTGTTAAAGCCCTGCCTTGAATAGTTTTCCACCTTTAGCAACTTGTATTTAATTAAAGTCTATTGCACAGATCCAATATTGTGGCCAATAATGTTTTGAAATTATTATTAGTATTGCTGTATGGGGTCATACAGGTCAGAGAATTTTATTTACAAAAAAAAACATTGTTTAAAAATCCGTTTTTCTCTTAAATTTGTAGTTGTCGTAACCCAGCACCAAGATGACGAGAAAGACCCTGAGTGAGGACGAGAAATTCCTTTACACGGACAGAGACTTCATTAACAGCCCTGTCACCCAGGCAGATTGGTCAGCTAAAAAGCTAGTATGGGTCCCCTCTGAGAAACATGGTTTTGAGTCGGCCAGCATCAAAGAGGAACGTGGCGATGAGGTACTGGTGGAGCTGGTGGACAATGGAAAGAAAATCACGGTCAACAAGGATGACATCCAGAAGATGAACCCACCCAAGTTCAGCAAGGTGGAGGATATGGCAGAACTGACCTGCCTGAATGAAGCGTCTGTTCTCCACAACCTGAGGGAAAGATATTACTCCGGACTCATCTATGTAAGTATGCCACAGTGTGTTTAAATTATATTGTAAATAAAATAATGCTTAATAAATTATAACAAGTATGCACTTTATACAGCTGAATTAGGGTCAACCACATGTGATGATTTCTTCAAAAATGCTTTAAAATGCAAAGTGATTTGAATTCATCTCTTCTATGATTAATTTCTGAATTAAAAATGTCAAGGTGATATCTGTCCAGATATCATAAAAGACTGATTGAAAGGATGAAATACTTGTAAAGAAACCCTTAAGTAAAAAAAATACAAGCAGAAGCAGTTTTGTTATTACTAGTAATATAATATAAAAAAAGAAACTTTAAAAAAAGTCAATTTATAATGTCGTGTGGTGTGACCCGTCAAAAATGTAATGATATTTAATAATTAATCATTTGATATTTGTAAAATAATAATAATAGTAAAGGTTTTATTTTTTGTTCACTCATATTTATTCCGGGTGTAAGGAAAATATGCTTTTACGTTTTACTTGATTACACTAAAAAGTCATTAAAACGCAAACTTTTGTTCAAAATCAAAAATCAAATGAAACCAACATAAATAGAAAGAGTACATTTTTAAGAACTTTATCTTTTTTATCTTGGATGCTCGTATTTGTCATTGACCCCCTGCTGACATTACATAACACAGTGCATATCATATTATTATCAGCAAATGTATAACATTTATAAATAACTCTGTTGTGACCAAACCAATGCAAAAAGAAAGAAAAAATACATTGACAGCCATTTAGCTTAAATGGCGATGATTTGCAAGTACTAAAGCTTAAGATAGAGGAACTATACATTTCCTAAGAGTGAGGGGTAATATAACATCCACAGGCCACCAAACTATGTTTGCACTCTGGTAACAAAACATTAGTTAAAAAAAGTTTTGCTCTAAGGATAACTTGGGAACAGGAGTCTTCCTTATGGAATATGCATCACCTAAGCTTTCAAATATTATGAAATATACAGACTCAAGCCAAACTTCCTTCAATTTATATTTTACGATATTGTACGACTCGTTACTGTGTTGCCATGTCTCCTTGTTGTTCTTTACTTGATGGATTCATAACACTTCATATACAGTGGAAAAACGAGATGTTATCTTTCTTCAGACATACTCTGGGCTGTTTTGTGTGGTGGTGAACCCCTATAAAATGCTGCCAATCTACTCTGAGAAGATCATTGAAATGTACAAAGGCAAAAAGCGCCACGAGGTTCCTCCCCATATCTACTCCATCACGGACAATGCCTACAGGAACATGATGCAAGGTGAGGCCTGGCCTGCTGGACGCTGACACGTTAACTCATAGATAGCTTGCTTCTCCCCACAAGATCTGAATGTTTGGATTTCACAATAGCCATTGGCTTGAAACTTCAAACTCAAGTGGATCCAAAAGGCATTTTTATTTCACTAATTGGCAACAGAACAGTGTAGAATCTCCATATATACCAGTGAGCTCTTTGAATGTCATTCGTGTTTGTTGAAATGAAGTGTGTATTAGCAGGTCAGTAAGTGGTGTGAGGGGCGCATACACACATGTGTCAGCAGGTCACACATCTAATGCCATTTCAAACACTTTTAAACATTCAAACAATTTAAACAGCTGCTGTTACCCACAGAAGTTTGAAGCTGTATTATAGAGTGAAATTAGGTGCTAAATGAAAAGAAGAAGAACCGCAAGATGTTTTACACCTCAGTAAAGTTGTTGTGTTGCTAATGAACTTGTTGATACATCAGCTCATGTTAAAGAACTGGAGTCAGATGAAGAAAAGATAAGTGCTTAAGCTGAACAAAACCTTTCTGCGAAGTTTGCATTGGAACATCTCAGAAACTGTTATCTTATGTGAAACATGCAAAAAAAATTGCTTTCAAAAAGCAGAAGTAGGAAGATGCGTTGTCACGCTGTTCCTCAAGACTAATTCTGCTCAGTTCACTTCTCATTAAACTGTTTACATTAGACAAGGGCTGAACAATCATGCTCAGACCCTGTAAAAATTCATGCAGATCATTGCACAGTGACATGTTCTGTTCACAGTGAGAACTCTATGTTCCTGCTCTGTGAAGACTCATGTGCTCATATAGCACAAAATTAGTCCAATAGCACCTAAACATCGCATGACA